ACTATATAAAGTGTTTTAATGACAAAAATAAAAATAATAGGACTCTTTTGCATTCGAATTCACCGATGTCGTTCGTAAGACACTGCCCTCCTCCACGTTGACATTCACTACACTGTTCGGATAAATTCCACTCTAGAGTATATTCACTGGTAAACAAATCGAACACATTTTCCGGCGATTGCTGATCATAATTCGACTTTACGGGTAGTTGAATCACGTGGCATTGAGAAGGTAATCCATCTCCATTGGGAACAGGTGGTGCAACGTTTGCTGTCGGAAAACTATAGTACAAAGCTATCAAGGAGCAAGTATAGTTAAGATAGTTTTCGAAATATCTTCCCCGTTCACTCTTGTAAGTTTCGTTGAAGCACTCGAACATGGTTAGATTGGGGGAGAAAGAAAACGAGATTGAAGGATATTTAGGCAGAGTCAGATTTATAAAGGAAAAACAACTATTGGTATCTAACAGAGACTGGAGCGAATGATCTTTAACTAAGAATTTATTTGTCGAAATGTTCAAAATACTATACTCTTGACCGCCAGGTTCCAGCTGGATCGTTGGATTTACGGAATCACAGCCATGAACGGTGAATAATCCGCATCCTCGAGAATTCGAGAGCGGGAATTCGAGATAGCCTAACCGTCCACATTCGAATGATTTTGAGCACTTTGAAACAACTGAAATAATGATTGAAGAATGAAATAGAAAGAAGAAAAGGAGAAACTTGATGATCACAAGATCATTCATATTGTTGTTTAGCTTCTTTTGTACGTATCCATTTTAATTTAGCACCATATTATAACTGGCAGATTATTTCTTCTGTACAATTATAGTTGACTTGACTCTAAAGACTTTGATGTTTGAAAAGTAATTAAATCAATAGTTTAGTAGCTAGAGTTGGAAAATGAATTACACCTTAAGTGTGTGTTTGTAAAAACAATTGAAATTAATTCAGGTTTTCCATAGGACCAATTCCGCTATTATTATTTTTTTAGTGGTGTAATTTCCTCCGAATTATTTTAATTTACTATCAAATTTATATAAAATAAGATACCCTTTAAATTTCTAATTTACCATCCTCCCTTGTATTTGCTTAATCCTCCTTTATTCTAAGTCTTTTTTTCTTTTTCTTTTTTTGCAATGAAATCAAAACGGATAAGACAAGATTCTAACAATCGTCCAATTTGAATTAGTTTTTGGGCAGATTGTGCTAGATAAAAACTAACCGAGTTTTCAAATTTTAATCCACCGAAAACAACAATATCGAAAATCTCTGTTTTTTTTTTCTTTTAAAGAGTGCTCTTAATTTATTTTTTCAAGAACGTGAATTCCTACTCTTTTTGACATTCGGGTGTTTTTCTTCTGAAGACAGTGTCATTCACTTAAGGTGGAGATGGTGAGATTATGTGGTAAAGATTTTTGTGAAAAATTGTAGAGTTTTTTTGTGAATATTTTAATTAGTTTGATGATGGACAATTTATGAATTTATACAGAATATGGGTAAAAAAGAAAAAAAATATGGATAAAATATAAAAAAAAATATTTAATGTAGTGTTGAAATAAGATATTTTGAAGGTGGAAATAACATTTTTTTTAATATATATTGTTATTTGAACGCTATCCCGTGTATCGAACTTGAACGCATACTTTTTATTCGATAACCTATGAAATTCGACTAGAGCTCGATATATATATATATTTTCTTTAATAAGAATGTACAAAAAATATCAAACAATCCGAATTTGATTCGTATGAGTCTAGATAAAATCTCGGCCAAATCTCATTCTTAGTCCCTCATGTCTAGGTTTTATTCCACTATAGTCCCTCATCTCTCAAATGCACCATAGTCCCTCATCTCTCAAACTCATCTCAATGTCATCCTTTATATTGACACTTCCGTTAAGTATTAACGGAAATTAACAACAATGAATGACATTCTCCACTAAAGAAGATCAATGTAGGCAAGTTACTTTTTATACAAAAAAAATAAAAATTGGCAAATTACTATTATGGTTATTTGTCTGTTTATTATTAATGGTAAAACAATTGAGAATAAAAAGAAAAAACTCACTGATCCACCAAAATTCATAATTTTCCTCCAATTCAAGTTAAAGAATTGGGGTTTCAAATTTTTTATTTTTATTTTTTTTAAGATTTGAAAGCAATTTCGAACCTCTTAATTTGTGTAGCAAAACTTGGATTTTTAAACTTGCTTATATTAAGTTTTTCCTGAACTTTGTTATCTTGTTTTTTTAATTTCTTTTGATTTTTCAAGTAACATTATTTTGTTGATTTTTGTTTTTACATATTTTATATGAGAAAAGCTAAATATAAATTTTATATATTTGTATTAAATGCGTGCTAAATATTATAAATTAAGATGAAAGCATTGAAGTTTATTTTCATTTTTTTTTGAGAAAATATATTTTGAGCCAAAGAATCTAATATTTACATTTTTTGGATCGGAAAAGAAAAAATAGAAATCAATTGCTTATATAATTACAATCAAAGTTCACCGCAATTGAGCGTTTTGGAAATTTTCATTACACAATTATCTAGAAAAATATTGACTATATAGAGGGGTATATTGAATTTAAAGAAGTTTTTGCCAACAATGCATGGAGTTGAAAAAATGATGGTTTATCTTGCAGTGCAATATAAAAGTAAAATATATTATACCTATTATTAATTATTTATTGTGACTTTCCGTTAGTATTTGACGGAAGTATGAAACCAAGGACAACAATGATACACTCATAAAAGACGAGGGACTATAGTGGGATAAAACCTAGACATAAGGGACTAACAATGAGATTTGGCCTAAAATCTCGGTCGAGCTCGACTCAAATATTTGTCAAACACATAGCGTATTTTACCAAATGTAGGATCTCGTAAACCCTAATTTTAATCGTATAACTCTAACAAAAATCGATTTTATCATCAATCCAGCATTCGTTAAACCAACATAGCATTTTGTTCCCATTTGCTAAAGATCAATTCAACGATTCTGATTCCCAATATATTAAAAATAGCTTTTTACAACTACTAGAAAAATTGAAATCAGAACAAACAACCCTAAACAAAGCCCCCCCCCCCCCCCCTCCCCAAATCCAACTATATATACGTACGAATTTTAATCCATTTTTGCCCCAAAATTTGACCCCCCCTCCAGGGTTGACCCCATAAAAACGTCTCAACCTAACTCGGAACGCCCAAAAACCTCTCACATTCAAAAACCCCATTTTTCCAAACTTCCCCCCCAAATTATAAAAAATTGGGACCCCCCCCCCCCCCGAAAACGATTAATCCACCCACTCCGCTGAATTTTAAAACATTGAAAAATATGCCCCAAATCTCCCTCTATTACCAAAAACTTGCATAAAACCCCCTGTATAGTTAACCGGGTTTACCATTAACGGAAATGAGAATTTTTTTCCAGAAGAAATAAAACCCCAGGGAATTTTACCCCATAAAAAGAATAAAGGAGAGTTTGGCGCCAATTTTCCCT